AGAACGCAACTTGTGCATGCTTACAAACATTGGGTGTCATGCAAAGATGTGGAGGAAATGGAAATGCTAGTAGCAGAAATAAAGGGATTAGTCTGGAAAGTTAGTTGCCACAAGCAGATATAAAAGAGGGGAAATGATCAATAAAGTCAGGGATGTATTCTGTGTGAATATCTTGTCACCACCACAAAAATGATCTTGTAGCTGCTTGACCTGTGGTAGAAAAGCTTGGAAGAGAGATCAAGATGGGGATCCCCAAGGTCCCTGCAATCCCAGAATCCTCCAATTCTGTAAAACAGAAAAGCAATTTACCTTCAGAAAAAATGCTAGGAGATGTACATTGGGGCAGCAAAGCTATTTTAACCATCTTCTATTGTAGACACTGTAGAATGTGTTTGACTCCTTTCTATAAAGGGAGACCATTTACCTTCAGAAGAAAGCAAGAAAGGTAAGAAATAAAATACTGGAGACCAAACCTTAGGAAGGTAGCAGGTTCTTCAGTCTTCCTACATAAAGGATAGGAAGAGAAAATGATCCACCAAAGAATTCAAAGATTAAATTCATGTAACATTGAGAGAAACACAAGATACAAAAGTGGGACAAGCAGGTGATAGTCGTCAAGAGCAAGAGCTGGAACAACATCAAGAGCAAGGAGGAATCAGACAAGTCATTATATCAGGTAACTAAGAGGACATCAATGACATCCTGTGTGCAGTTTCTGTAGTCAAGACGGTACAGAATGGATGTTTGCATCCAAGCAAGATGAGGAAAAGAGAATTGTTAACAAGGAAGTAGACTCCTTGCTTGAGAAGTTGGATAATAAAATAAGAAATAAAAACAGGATAGTAGCCAGAGCTGGTGGTAGAGGCCAATGAAGCCAATCTACTTTTTCTACCTTCAGGTAAAGAAGAAGGAACTGAAGGAGGAGAGATGAAGGGGTCATACTATTAGTAACAGCAGCAGCATGTATTCACTGAGCACTTCTCAGTACCTGACCTCACAGCACCCACTTCGTAGGTGCCACTGGGATGAGGAGAGGACAACATTCCAACTCTCCACGTCCCTGCAATATCCATGGCTATTCTGTAGGCGAGTACACCAAGCCCTGGTCCTATTAGTGATGAGAATAATGAGATCAAGTAGACAGTTTAGCCTTTTTCTCATTTATCAGGAAAATCATGTGAAATTAAAAATTTTTTAAATTACAGTTGAAACAGAAGAAAAGTAATAGAGTATATAAACATATTTGTGGAGGGAAGCTAGTTAAGAAATCGTGAAGTTGATAGATCCCAAGGACACGTTAACAGAATGTTGACATTATACCAATGAAAAACCAAGGTGGAGAAAAAAAGATGGGTTGGTTGCCGAAGACATACAGGATGATGAAGTTGGCCCTGCCAAGGCTGGTGGGCATCATGTGCAGTAATTTGTCCATCTATCCCAGTTTTAACCAATTTGCTGTTTTAAAATCCTGTTGTCATCACATTTGTATTAAGAAGCCATGTGTCACTGAAAATGAAGGATACAGGAACACACTGTATAACCTTAACAAAACTACTGCTCTAATGGCACAGAAGGCCTCCAAAGCCCTTTAAAAAACTAAAAAGAAATGTTCAAGCGGGCGGAAGACAAAGTTCAGTATTTTAAAATTAGCCACAGCTAATTCAAATGAAAGTTAATAAATTCCACTAAAAGCCACTTCCAGCAACAATTCCTTTAAGAGTCAACTTATTTTTAAACCTACACAATGAATTTTAAATCAGAATGTCTATTGATTCCTCAGAGGAGTTGCCCAAGTAATTGACTATATTTAAATAAATCTAAGATTTACAAAGAAGTGGATAGAAAAGACCCTCTGGTTTTATTTCTATTTTGAAGTCAGACTTTGCATGTTAGTACTGACCCACCCAAAACAGGCTGTCCTGTGGAGCCACACAGGTGGGAAGTCCCTTTGTTGCCTGTGTAGTTTGTGCATTTAGACCATGCATTATTAATGCCAGGCATTCTACCTCCGCATTTTATTTTTCTGTGTTAGCCTTGTTAGACTACTGTAAATTTTATTTGGGGTGTGGCTGGGTAATTGCCCATCTCAGTCATACTCAGGCATGTAGGTGTACACACATGCACAGAAGTCAAGCACTATATTCTCGATTTCCAGAAAAGAGGTACAAAGCCCTAAGGATTATAAATGTATGCTGCTTACCATCATCTTAGTGACCAAGGCAGCAAAGCTGTTTCTGTACCTTGGAACAATCTTCCCTTGGGATCAGGACTGCAAAGACAAGAGTGATGGAGAGTTCTCCTGCGCTAAGCCAAGAAAAGGTTTCAGCACCTCAGACAGCTCCCACCGAAGGAGCGCTCCCAATTGTTTGTCGATGTTGTAAAGGAAAGCCTGAGTTTGTCTTGAGGTTGTCAGCAGTTGCAAGACATGTAATAAAATAAAATAAAATGCAATGTGTTCCTAATTCATTGTATATCCTCAGCTTGAAATTTGGGTAGCAAAATGATTACTCAAGATTCTTCAGTCTTGGCAAGTATCTGTATCTAACAAGCAGTTTTTGTACCTAATGTCTTCTTTTTTTTTTTTTTTAAATACACTTTAAGCAAATTGAAGTTTTTGTTCCTGGAGGAAACGTGGTTTGATATGTTCATCTATCTTTTAGTAAATTTGCGGGCATAACTTCTCCTATTCTGAGTAACTTTTCTAAGAGGAGAGCATAAAAGTTTGCTGTTGTTTTTAAAGGATGCAACATTCAGCCTGTGTTATGAGTTTAAGTGTACAATTTAAACCTAAAGGACATATGTGCAATGCATTTTGCAGATGTGTGCCGGATATATATGTATGGATAATGGGCAAGTATATGTGTGTGTGTGTGTGTATGTATATAGGAAGTATACTATATAAACACACAATACACGCCCACCCACACACATTGCGTATCTTCCAGAAAAAAGAAGCATGTCAGGACTTACATCTAAGTTAGAGATGCTGTTTAGAGCCCCATTTAAAAAAATGTACATGTTATATCCTTGATTTCTCAGGATACCTGTGTTTATCTGAGAATCATTTCTAGACACATGTCACAATGAAAAGAAGGACATGTCTACTCCAAGTTAAGATTTTTTTTAAAAAAGATGGAGACCATCTGAAATAAAATTCAGAGCTCTTGCCTTTCCTTTCTCCTAGCGACACCTAGAGCCTGTTGAGAAAAAGACAAAACAAAACGGCACATTGGTCTCGCTCCAAACATCCACAATTCAACAATTTTAAGTCAGATTTAAGGCAAAAAAGTACATTTTTCCTATTTGCATTGCAACTTAACTGTCTTCCCCAAGACTCCCAGTAGTTTAATCTTCCAGAACTCTTCACCCTCCCCCAATTAAACCATTCGCCAAAGACTTCCGGTTCCTTGAACCAGACAACTGAAGAATCTGTCCATTTCCCTCAGGACTTGGCCCACCAAAGCAAGGGACATGCCTTGGAGATCCCTCTATTGAACTGGGGAGTCTGGAAATGATGCAGGAGAAAATCAGAAAACTTCACACAAGATCTGACGCAGGGCTGTAGAGGGTGTGTACCTGTGTGTGTGCAAACCACATCTCCCGCAAAGTTTTATGATTTCCATTAGTTTCCCCATCCTTCATTCATAAAACAAAAACTACCAGTAACAACAGCAAAACCTCACTGATTTCATAATATCTGGCAACTAGGAATTGTCCCTGGGAAGTTACTCAATGTCTCGCCTCCCGCCCGCCGACCCAAACACAACTCTTGCACTAAAGAAATACCAAACAGGGAAATAGCGTGGCTGGAGGCTGCAGAGAGGTAATGACCAAAACCTCCTGTTCAGTGCAGGGCAATGTACTGCCCTGGGTATGTCAGGGTAGACTGAGAGGCCAGTGGGAACCTTAGGACTGCACAGCCTTGCTTAAAAGATGCAGTTGTGAAACTCCTCAAAGGCACACACCATGATTTCTATGACCCAACACAGCCTAACTGTTCTAAGAGCTGTACCAGCCAAGCCAGACCTGTTTGTCTGAGAGTCTGTTGGGGATTTTCTCTTCTCCCTGGGAAAAGAAGGCCTCAAAGAAAAAGCACAGTTTCCTCCTTTCTAAGTCCTAGCAGCCTTCTGCATCCTTGAAAGGGATCCACAGGAGGTAAAACTCATCCATCTAAGGTCCGGCTCGTGTCCTGCATGAGTCATTGGTTACTAGGGCGATGTACAAATCCAATCTTTGAAACCCCAGCTTCCAGCCCCATGAAGAGTAGGAAATGTGCTCTTGGAGAAGTTTTCACTGAACGCGGTCTAAGGCAGAGGTGCTAATCCAAGGCTGGGAGGGGAGACAGACACGGCCTGAGGTCTCTCAGCAACTGGGACAGAGGGTTGGGGCTCAGATGCCAGTATTTTGTTTTTTTTTTTTTGTTTTTTTTTTTTTTTTTCCGGAAAGGATAATCACCACCACCACCGCTGGGGGGGAAAGTGTCTAGGAGAAGTAAGAGGAACGAACGAGATGCATTTGAGTCAAGGGACAGAGTGGGTAGGCGAGGAGGTGCACGATGAAGAGATTCCAAACACAAGTGGGAGGGAGAGAAGGTGCCTGAGACTGTGTTCCCGGAGCACGAAATAAATATAAACCAACTCGTAATCACAGGCCGATTGAATTCTCTCCTTAGGAACCATAGCAGCATGCTGTTAAAAACAGACATCCGCGCCTCCAGGGAACGCACGGCGAATTCCAGATCCCAGCAGGCGCAGTACCCAAACCTCACTCTCACCAGCCACCAACTCCCGGCCGCCACGGCTGCAGACACAGACCCGCTCCCTCCGGGACGGCGGTGACCGCGATCTGGCGCCACGGAGCGTGTCTGGGGGCGCCCAGGGAGTCGTGGACAGGGGGAGGACGCCCGATCCCCCCGCCCCTGATGCCCCTGGCCGACGCGTCTCGCTGCGCGCTAGGTCCGGAGCCCCCGCCGCCGCCCGCCGCCCCTGAGAAGCTCTTACGTCCTCCTCGTCACCATCGCTCCGCGCCTGGTACTGGAACCGGGGCCGGCCACCCGCGCCGCCGCCGCAGCCGCGCTCCCGGGGCGCCGCCGCCTGCGCCCGCGGGCCGAGGGGCTTGGCTCCTGCGCCGCCGTCCTCCTCGGGCCCCTGTCCGCCCAGGAGGTGACTCGCCTCCGGGGGCGCGGGGAAGGACCGCGAGGTGTTGATCTTGCCGGTGAACCTCTGGTACAGCGAAGCCATCGGGCACCGCGCGCTCCTGCTGGTTGTCTTTGGGGCTTTTTAATATTTCGCTTTCTCTCTCTCGGGTTCCCGCTCCCCACCCCGCTCCAAAAAAAATAAATAAAAAAAAGGCGGTGGGGAGGCAGCAGCAGCAGCAGCAGCAAGGCAAGCCCAGCGCCGGCGGCAGCCGCTCCTCCCGCGCGCCACTCGCGAGTCTCCGCTGGCGACTCTGCCTGGCTCAGCCTCCTCCGCCCCCTCCCCGGCGGCTCGCGAAGTCCAGGGTCTGGCTGTGCTTTCTCTCTTTCCTGTTTTTATTCTTTTTTTCCCCAACTCCTTGCCACAGCCACGTACGGCCTAATCAAAGAGATTGAAGGAAGGAAAAAAACCCAAAAACATAAAGCGAGGGAAATGCCTAGGCCCCAGAATTTGGCACCACCTAGAGACCGGCACACATTCCGAGCGCTCTAGTCGCTCCCCGCCCCCAGGCCCCTTGCGCGGCTCCTCCCCCTCCCGGGCCCCTCCGCCCCCTCCCCACTGGCCTCCTCCCTCCGCCCAGGACTGGCGCCTGGGTGGCAGGGGCTGGCAGCCCGGAGGGGTCACGGGGTCACACAAAAAGGGGGCAGGGGCGCGTGAAGAGGGTGGAGGGGCGGGGACCACGCAGATCGTGAGTGTGGGGGCGGTAGGGGAGTCCAGGGAGCTCAGGGTACTTCGGCCCCGCCGAAGGTCGTGCCGCGCGTGCCCCGTATCATGCAAGCGTACTGTGCGAGGGGACACGGAGGTCGAGGCAGGCAGGCCAGGGGGCGACTGAAGGTGCGACCGGCCCCGGGGAGCCCCAGCCACGCGTGCACTGCAGCGGTGGGCTCCCCGCGCCCCCAGCTCCTCTTGCCTAACTTGAAGCAACAACAGAGAGACCCCGAGGTCCTGGGGTACGAATGGGGCGAGGGAGAGCCACCAGGAGGGCGTGGGGTGGTCGGTCGGGTGATGCTGGTGCCGAGAGGCCGCCCTCGCTCCAGAACCCAGCTCCCTCCGAAACCGCCCGGTCCCTTCTCCCCTCTCCAGAGGAGGACAGGAAAGGTCGCGGGGCTGCGGTGGAGGCCCAGAGGCCCAGGCGCCCCTGGCGGGCGCTGCGCCCCGCAGCCAGCCCAGCTGTGACCGCGACTCCATTCTCATTATCATGAACGCAGGCAGAGGCTCCGCTCTCCGGCTGCCCGCAACTTTTCCAAAGCCTGCGCCTCACTATGCCCGCCGAGAGCGAGGGAGGGCGACATGGCTCCACTCGCCGCGCGCTCTCGGGCTCGCAGCCCGCCCCGCCGCAGGAAGGCGCACTCCAGCGCCGCTGTGTGGACACCCGCGCCAGCCGGCTCCGCTCCTCTGCTCCAGGCCCGGCCTCGCCTCTCTTGCCCTCCCGACCCTCCTGCGCCCTCTCCCGCTCCCTCCTGCGCCCTCTCCCGCTCCCTCCTGCACTCTTCTCCGTCCTTCTGGAGTTGCTGGGCGCGCGACTCTCGTTCCCACATCCTCCTTGTGCGCCCCTTCCCTGCCAGGAGGGACCTGTCCCATCCTGAGCTCGAACAAAGGCCGGGAACCTCAACCTCCAGAGAGGGAACGTGTGAGACCCCGCCCCTGCCCAATCCACCGCCCCCTTCCACATGGAGGTAGGGTGTTGGCTTCATCTCCCAGGACTGCGTGGGGCTCCCTGCTCCTCCCGGGTTTCCACGCCTGTTTCCACTTAGGGTTTCAAAGTAACAGGTTAGGCCGCCATGCGCGAGGCCGACTGCAGGCTCGCCCCCAGCCCTGGCATGGCCCCAAGCCCAGAGAGAGGCCTGCCTGGGCCTGAAACTGCAAGCTCCCTCTGTTTCCCTAACTGCGGGGGAGAAACTGAATGCTGGTGAACCAGTCTCCTGGGAAGAGACCTCCTTCAGTCCCTTCCACCTGCCTCCCTTCCCCAAGCTCTCAATCCAGTGTGTAGTTTGCGGTTGTAACCAAAATTTGTACCACACTCATCTTCTGTTTACTCCACAGTAGCTTCCCTTTACTATGAAGAAACATGAGTTTAAAAACACTTTTTTTTTTTTTTTTTCAAATACAAAACCAAGTAAAACCAGGATTGGAACAGCTAAGCAAGACTTGCTGCATGGGAGAGGCCACGCAGGTGGGTCTGGGGTGGGGAGAGCTTCAGCTGCTCCACTTTGAAGACAGAGGCAACAGAGCCATCAAACTAAACTTTAAAAGTCACCACAATTAGATCGATAGAAAACCTTGCTCTCAACCCCCTCCTCTGCCCCAGCTGTGCTTTTGATGGGAGAAAGCCGCCTCTCCTAACATGGACATGAAAGAAAGCTCATGCTGTTCACTGCAGCATCCCAATCCTGACATTTCACTAAATATAGATGCAGTTAGGGTCCCACTTAGGTAATACACACATGCTCTCTATGAAATATACATGCATATTTTTACACAAACTAAATGTCATGCTAATATAGTTTATACAAAATACAATCATACAGAATAGTTTATGTATCATACATATTTCATAGATGTATGCATATTAATCATAGAATACTATTGTGGGATAAAGAAGGCATATGTGCCACTTTAAAAAATTATATTCTCAAGGCATTGTAGGTAACTATAATCTAGCTAAAGTTTAAAATCCCAATTAAATTATTTAAGAAAATATTATAAGCAATTTCTGCTTAAAATTAGAAAATGCAATCATCATAAAACTCATAAGCAACAGGGGAAAGAGTTGAAGTAAAAATTTGTGCTGGGAAGCAAATCTCACAATTAAGCATAAGAAATGGAGGGCAGAGGAGGAGGGCAGGAAAGAGCGACCATCTGAAAGATGCAGGTGTGAAAGGAGCCAGAATGCTGGGGAGGACTGAAAACAGCATGGATGAACACGAGGATGTTCCTCAAGGATGATCCAGATGGAGCGCCCTTTACCCAACTTGAAAACCGCTTGGCTATACTCTTGCACCTTGCAGACTGAACGCGGTGCTTCTAGGGACATTTTAAAGAAAGTTCTGGCGGGGCGCGGTGGCTCACGCCTGTAATCCCAGCACTTCGGGAAGCAGAAGCAGGCGGATCACAAGGTCAGGAGATCGAAACCATTCTGGCCAACATGGTAAAACCCCGTCTCTACTAAAAATACAAAAATTAGCTGGGCGTGATGGCGGGCGCCTGTAGTCCCAGCTACTCGGGAGGCTGAGACAGGAGAATCGCTTGAACCCGGGAGGCAGAGGTTGCAGTGAGCCGACATTGTGCCACTGCACTCCAGTCTGGCTACAGAGCACGACTCCATCTCTAAATAAATAAATAAATAAATACATACATACATACATAAATATTTATTCTATACCTCCTGTGTATGTGCATGCATGTTTGTGCACCCACACATCCAAATCTGTTTTAAGCACGGATACACACATTGCAGTCGAGGGTGTGAGGACGCCGTGGTCCCACAGTAAAAGGGTAAAGTGGTTAGTATTTTAGAATGAGTGAAGTGATACAATTTTAAAGACTGGAAAGCTATGGCATGTTATGTTTATGATGTATAATTAATTCAATTCTTGTCTCTAATCACCTTTCACCTCTTCTTATCCACACACACACACAAACAAGGAAAAAGGTACCCTGAAGAAGAGCAAAAGTACCCAACGGGCATGAAGGAAACATGTCAGTATTTCCCTCTATTCAATTTCTCCTTGAATGTCTGAAACGCACTATGGTGATGAAGCAGATTTTTATTCCTACTTATTGGGTAAGTGTGAGAAAATATTTTTGAAAATATTTTGCAAATTATTTATGTCGAGTTTAATTCGTCCATGCTGCTCCAAACCAAATGTCCCCAACCCATTTTTTCTATCTAGTTTCATATGATTACTGCTTCCCTATTTATTACAAAGGTGTGGGTGTGTGTTTATTTTCCTTAGAATAAATTTACAAAACACATGTAAGTCATTGGGATTAGGCAGATGCTCCAAAATATGTTGGATAATCATTTTAAAAATGACAATGAAGGCAAATTTTTGGTCTACCTGCAAGCTAAGCATTGTAGGAATAACAAAAGTACATCCATTGAGTTTAGCAGCCTAAGCATGATTTTTATTAGCTAAGAGGTTTTCTTATTTCTGAGAGAATTATATCCTGTAGTTTACTTCCCTTTTCTCTGGGTGCTAAGGGAGAAGGACAGAACCATATTTAAGACTGTTTTGCTTTTCCAAATACTAATATTTGAAGAAATGAAATGGCTAAGTTAGCATAGTCTGAAGGAAGGTCTTCCCTAAAACAGTGGGCATCACTGTCTTTTACATATTATCTCCTTGAACTCATAAATGGGGAGAAAATTTTAAAAATCTCGGTAGCTTGAGAAAACACAATGCTAAATGCATACATTAAAGGCATATTCCCCACTCTGAAAATCTGTTTCTCACTTTCTATCTCTCAAAACATGTTTGGTTTCTTGTTTCCATTTTTGTTTTTTACAAGATAACTCTCAACTAGGGGCTGGGTAGTAAGACCTTTTACACTTTCAAACAGGAAATATCCAGCACACGCACACATACACACACACACACATACATAGTAATTGCTATTTCAGGCTTTTGGAAAACAGAGTTCAAGTATGAATTGGGTTAATTTGGGGTTTTTCAACTTAATACTAAAAAATTATGTTTTATGTAAATTATTTGTTTTTTTTTAAATTTTTTTTATTAGTGATTTTTATTTATTTTTATTTTTTATTTATTTTTATTTATTTTTATTTTTATTTTCTTATTTTTTATTATTATACTTTGAGTTCTAGGGTAGATGTGCATAACGTGCAGGTTTGTTACATATGTATACTTGTGCCATGTTGGTGTGCTGCAGCCATCAACTCGTCATTTACATCAGGTATAACTCCCAGTGCAATCCCTCCCAGAAAACAGTATGGCGATTCCTCAAGGATCTAGAACTAGATGTAAATTATTTGTTTTAACCCAATAAATAGCCTTTCTCTAGCATCAGTAAAGTTAAGCTTCAATCTCCCAATAGCACATTTCTCTGCATTTTAGCCCTACCATTGTGTAACTGCTTGGATCTTAAACACAGTTCAAAGTGTACATACAACTAACTACACTGGCGTCATGTACACAAACACAGTGGTTGATCAACACGAGTGTTAAGGTTTACTGCCAGGTGAGCTGCACAAGCTTTGATCCTACTCAATGGCTGGTGCCAACCTCACCCCATGTTTTCTCTGTGGCCCCCTGGAGGACTGCTCACAACCTTACCACCTTCCTCTAGGATTCTCCCGTAGTTCTTCATCTTGCCTTGCTACATTTAACCATAATCGACTCCTCTTCTCCCACTTTCTAATTGCCTTTCTTCACTTCTGCTGTCTTGCCTTCATTCATGTCCCCCTTCTGGATCAATATCTGTAGGCTACA